TGAGTTTTTTTTTTTTTTAAATAAATCTTTAAGATTTTATTTATTCACTTGACAGAGAGCACAAGCAGGGGGAGCAGCAGGCAGAGGGAGAAGCAGGCTCCCCGCTGAGCAAGGAGCCCGATGTAGGGCACGATCCCGGGATCCTGGAGTCATGACCTGAGCCAAAGGCAGACGCCCAACTGACTGAGCCACCTAGACGCCCCAAGTTACTGGAGTTCTTTATATATTATATCAACCCTTTATCAGATATGTGATTTGCAAATATTTTCTCCCATCCAATAGGTTGCCTTTTTGTTTTGTTGATGGTTTCCTTTCCTGTGCAGAAGCTTTTTAGTTTGATACAGTAAATAACATTTGTTTTCGCTTTTGTTGCCTTTGCTTTTGGTGTCAAATCCAAAAACTCCTTGCCAAGACTGATGTCAAGGAGCTCACCACCTATTTTCTTTTAAGATTTTTATGGTTTCAGGTCTTTCAAATCTTTCATCCATTTGAGTTAATTATTGTGTCTGGTGTATTGTGGTTCAGTTTCATGGTTTTGAATGTGGCTGTCCAGTTTTCCCCATTTATTGAAGAGACTGTCCTTTCCCCATTGAATGTTCTTGGCTCTTTTGTCTTCTGTTAATTGACCATACACATGTGGATTTATTTCTGGACTCTTTGTTCTGTTCCATTTCTCTGTGTGCCTGTTTTAATGCCAATACCATGCTGTTTTGATTACTATTGCTTTGTAATATAGCTTGAAATCAGGGAACATGAAGCTTCCAGCTCTGTTCTTTTCAAGATTGCTCTGGCTATTTCACAGTCTTCTGTGATTCCATACAAATTTTAGGATTGTTTGTTGTATGTCTTGGTAAATGCCTTTGGAATTTTGTTGGTAATTGCATTGAATCTATAGATTGCTTTGGGTGGTACAGCATTTTATTTTATTTTTTTAAAGATTTTATTTATTTATTTGACAGAGAAAGACACAGCGAGAGAGGGAACACAAGCAGAGGAGGTGGGAGAGAGAGAAGCAGGCTTCCCGCCAAGCAGGGATCCCGATGCGGGGCTTGATCCCAGGACCCCGGGATCATGACCTGAGCCAAAGGCAGACGCTTAACGACTGAGCCACCCAGGCGCCCCTGGGTAGTACAGCATTTTAATGATATTTTTCCAATCCATGAGCACAGAGTATCTTTCCATATATTTATGTCTTCAGTTTCTTTCATCAGTTTCTTACGGTTTTCCGTGTACAGGTCTTTTTTTTTTTTTTTTTAAGATTTTATTTATTTATTTGAGAGAGAGAATGAGAGCGCACATGAGAGGGGGGAGGGTCAGAGGGAGAAGCAGACTCCCTGCTGAGCAGGGAGCCCGATGCGGACTCGATCCAGGGACTCCAGGATCATGACCTGAGCCGAAGGCAGTCGCTTAACCAACTGAGCCACCCAGGCGCCCCCGTGTACAGGTCTTTTACTTCCTTGGTTAAATTTATTTCCAGCTGTTTAATTCTTTTTAATGTAACTGTTTTCTTAATTTTGGTTTCTGCTAGTTAATTATTAGTGTATAGAAACACAACAGATTTTTGTATGATGGTTTTGTATCCTGCAACTTTACCGAAATCATTTATTCTAATGGTTTTTTAGTGGAGTCTTTAGTTTCCTATATTTAATATGCCATCTGCAAATAGTGACAGTTTTCCACTGTGGATGGTGGAGAATTAGCCTTCTTTCTTCCTTATACTTTCTATCATACATCCACATGTGTACTTCCCATCCTCTACAACTTCCTAATAGTTGGGTTACATAAGTATCAAGTGTTTATATTACTGTGACCACATAGGTCATTTTGAGCTCATTTTTCTTCTGCAATTATGTTATCCTCCTTTTCTTTTGGGTCATTTTCCATTAGTACAACAAATCTTAATATCTCTCTTTAACTCCTCCTAGACCTCCATGGCATCCCATTTCTGTTCCTCTTCATCACAGCAAAACTCCGTGAACATGTTGTCTTTCCTGTCTTGCTCCTCTTCCCTTCTCCCATCCCCTCCGCGACTGCTGGCCACTCCAACTGGGCTTTTGTTTCTACCACTCGGTCAAGAAGACTCTTGTCACCGTTGATCCCTTGCCAAGACAAAGATTAAATCTAAGTTTGCATTTTACTCAGCCTTTCCCCAGCTTTTGATATATTCGACCACTCCCTCCTTGAAACACTTTCTGCACTTGGTTTCTGGGATTCCGTACTGACCTAATTTTCCTTCTGTGTTGTTGGTCATTCCCTGTGTGTTTCATGTGCTAATTCTACCCCTTCTAGTTTTTCCTCAGAAATGCTTGAGGGCCCCACGGTTCCCCTCTGCCCCCTTTTGTTTGCTTTCCTTAGGCAACCTAATCCCTTTCCGTGGCTTCTAGCATCAGCTGTAGACTGACTCCAAAATGTCTAACTTTGGCCCAGAGCTTCCTAGAACTCCAGACTTTGTGAAATATTCAGTTGCCTATTCAACATCTTCACTTGGGTGTTTTAATAAGCATTTGGCCCCAACCAAACTGTACATTTCTTCTCCCCACCAGATCCTCCAGCCCAATTCCCAGTCATAGTACGTGCCACCATTATCTAGTTGTTCAGGCCAACTACCTATCAATCTTCCTGGTTCCTTTCTTCCACATCCAGCCCATCACTACCTATCAGAAACCTTTCTGTAAGTCCTCATGTCCCACAGCTCCACTGCTATAACCCTAATGTGAGTCCTGCCTAGATTACCAACTGCTACGTCCTTTTTTTTTTTTTTAAAGATTTTATTTATTTATTTATTAGAGAGCGAGCGAGAGAGAAACAGCATGAGAGAGGAGAGGGTCAGAGGGAGAAGCAGGCTCCCCGCTGAGCCGGGAGCCCAATGTGGGACTCGATCCCAGGACCCTGGGATCATGACCTGAGCCGAAGGCAGTCGCTTAACCAACTGAGCCACCCAGGCGCCCCCAACTGCTACGTCCTAACTGGTCTCCTCACTTCCCTCCTTCCCTAATCCACCCAGCATCCCACAGAGCCGTCAGAGATAGACTCAGATCATTTCTTCTGCTGCTTAAAACCTTCCAATGGCTTTCTCTTATGCCTTGAATTAAACCCAGACCCCTTCTTTGAAGCCTCTGTCACCCTTCCTGATATGAGCCTTGCCTGCCATTAGCCTCATGTCCCCATCTCCTTCCGTTTCCTGGTCATGGTGGCTTTTTTTCCTGCTGTATCCTGTTTCCATCTTAAGCTTTTGTTATTGTAGAATGCCTTTCTCCTCCTACATCTTTGCTCCACCACCACTTTCTCATTGTTTTGGTTTCAGCTCAGCTATTGCTTGAGATAGGATGCTCTTCTGACTCAAGTCAAAGCAGCACTTTTACTTCATCATGTTTCTTTTTCATCTTCTCACTAGCACTTCTTGTACCTGAAACTATATTAATATGTTTTCAGAATTTCAGTCCAGAATGTAATCCGCCGCTCCCCCCCCCCCCGCCCCCCACCATGTCCTGAGCCCTTGGAACACTATCTGGTATGTGGAAGGAATGTTGTTGACTGACAAGGTTCATAAGACAAAAGAAGAAAGCAATACATTTTGAATGTTTCATTTCCCTTGTATATTCCTGGTCTCCATCAGGAAATAGAGAAAAATGATTCAAACTAGGGACCTTTCATTTGTTTTAGGCAGCATTTCAGAGTGCTTTAAATTTCTAGGACATTAAACCTACCCCTACCGTGTTCACATAGGAGTACAAAAAAAAAGCCCATTGGAGATAAATTGTATGAGTTTGGGATAATCCGTTTCTTTTCTCCATATCTCCTGGAGAAGAGTTGGCCACCAGCTTTTTATGAGTGTTACGTGTTATGTCATAAAGGTTTTACATCAACCGTATTTGGATTTAAAATACTCTATTATGTAACAGTCTGCTTTGTGAATGTATTTAACTGGGAATAGAATCAAGTGTGCGAGTAGATCCAGCATCAAACATGGCTTCAAGCTTTTAACTGATTTTCCTCCATATGATATCATAAAGGGAGGTAATTTTTTACTTTTGTCTGTTGGTGTAATTTTTAAATTGTTACAAGCTCCAAATTAGTGGAAATATGTTAGTCTAAATAGTAAAGGGGGAAAAAAAACCTGGATAGAGAACTTAATGATATATGGGTAACAGAACTCTCCAATTATATGTTACTTGCATGTATCTGGCACTTCGGTCCCTGCCAGTGTCAATTTCATTTGATGACTCCTTGGCTAAAACCCTGTTAGAGTTTCCAGAGCGCTCTTGTGCTTAAACCATCTAACTGTTCAGCTTTGTGGTTTTCGCGAATGGTCAGCGTTTAGCGATAAGGAAGTAAGGTCCCATGAACTCAGGAAAATTTAGCTGGGGAGAGGGTAAGTGTGAAGGTGGGTATCTGAGCTGCTACAGAACATCTGTGTCTTGTCCTGGCCTCTTGGGGAGAGGGTGTGTATGGATGGAAATAGGCAGTCAGACTAGCTTGGATTGAACATTTTTGTGCTCAACTTCTTTTCCTTTCCAGTTTGATTCGCTGAGGCTGTCTCAGGTTATGGACTCTAAAAGAGAGGCCTTAAGCTCCCCAGAAAGAATCCTTTTAAAGAGTTGTTTAGCCCCCAAATATTTGGGGATGTGTTTTGCACGGGTGCTTTTTTAAAGCTCTTCCCCACCTACTCCAGACTTCTGTCATGTGCATGCCCTGACTAATAACAGTATTGATCCAGGCTGTAGCTACACGTCTAGACATACCAAACAGCTGTTCTCTGTGCTCGGGTTAAAAACCGAGGGAGGAGCAGAGGAGAAACTAGGATGATGGCAGCACCCGAAATATTCAAACAGAATATACGTGATTCAAGGGAGAAGAGGCTCTGCAACACTCATTTATTACCTCTGATCTTCAAATAGCCTTTATGTATTTTGTCCTGGATGCAGTGGTTATAGGCCTAGAATAGAGACACTGTGCTTGATGTCATTTATAATACCCTCCATGTCTCTGTATTTTAACAGGGCAGTCCTGTACTATATCGAAATGTTAATTCTTTAAGGGAGCGCATGTCTGCCTTCCAGTCCGCTTTTCACTGCATAAAGGAGAATGAAAACATGATTGACCGTCCTGAATTCTCAGAGGCAGAAGGAGAGTTCAAGACCACAGGCTCAAGTGAGTAGAAAGAATTTAGTCCGTTTGGACTTCAGGATTTATTCAGACAAGCACGTGAGGTATGAAAAAGATTTAGTTTTACAGTGTGAAGGCAGTCTTTTCTAAGCAGAGCTGTATTTTTAAATGGAGGCTAACATTTAAAATTTGGGGAATTTCACACAAAAATTTAGATTTCTGGTTTGTCTTGAAAAAACCTGATTTTTCAGGCATTCCTGAGCCTACAATTCCGCATGGCCACAATTGAGTTTTAAATGTTAACGCATCAGAACCGGTTAGTTGGTTTCGTTGTTAGAATAAGGGCATGTGACAAATTTGAGCATTTAAACCTTGATTTTTAGAGGTTGCTTATTAAGCTTGGCAAGCATTTCTATGAATAACAAACACCCAACCCTGATGTTATAAAAAGATATATCTAATCTGACATCTTAATAGCCTGTCCCCTTCTTTACCATAACTTTTAGATTGTAATTCATTTGGTTACTTTCTCCTGTCACTTCTGATTTTCCAATCACAAGGCATTTGAAATACCAGAATTAGACAAAATCTTGGCATTACCATAATCATCATAACCATTCCTCTGGTGTTTTGCACCCTGAGGTTCCAAATGATTTTGTTTTGGTTTCTTGAACCTGAATTTTCAAGTACATTTCAACATCTCCTCACATGCAGTGCACTGTTACTCAAGACAAGTCCCGTTCATCTACCTCTCCAGTGCGTGACCCACTCCGATGTACTCATTTGTGTTTGTAGTTTGTAACTTACCTATTCACTTCTGACCTGCATTTTAAATTATTTTACTGACATGATTGCTCTAGTTCTGCAGACAATTAAATTCACTTTTTGTAGCTGGGAAGAACTGAGGCACATTTTGGCTGTATGTTTCATAAAATCATACACAGTCAAAGCAGAACCCGTATTAGAACATAACCACATCCTTTAAAATGTTCAAAAGAGGGGCCCCTGGGTGACTCAGTCGTTAAGCATCTGCCTTTGGTTTCAGGTCATGATCCCAGCATCCTAGGATTGAGCCCCACATCGGGCTCCCTGCTGAGTGGGGATCCTGCTTCTCCCTCTCCCTCTGCCCCTCCACCTGCTCACATGAGCTCTTTCTCTCAAATAAATAAATCTTAAAAAAAAAAAAAAGTTCAAAAGAAAAGGTTTCATTGTAAATTTTAAAATAGAGTGAGATGATATATCAGAAATGGAAATGCATATTAGCATATCTTTGTACATTTTTAAAGTCTAGAAAAAAATTTTAATAATGTTTATTATCCTTTTAGTAGTGATGTTCTCTTACCTTTCAGTTAGATTTCTTCTAAATAGAAAAATGTACTTTTTTTTTTTTAAGATTTTTTTTTTTTTTTTTTTTTTTTTTTTAATTTATTTGACAGAGAGATAGCGAGAGCAGGAACACAAGCAGGGGGAGTGGGAGAGGGAGAAGCAGGCCTCCTGCCGAGCAAGGAGCCCGATGTGGGACTCGATCCCAGGACCCTGGGATCATGACCTGAGCCGAAGGCAGAGGCTTAACGACTAAGCCACCCAGGCACCCAGAAAAATGTACTTTTAATTGATAAAGTATTTAGATTCAAGCATTACATTTTAGTGAAATTATTATGTGCAAAATTTAAAAGTGATATAGTAAAAGAAAGTATTTTTGCCTGTGTTATGTTTATACATATAGCCAAAAAAGAAAGTCTTGGTGAATGTCAAGAATCTGAGTTCCCTGCGAACTTATCATCCAAACGTCGAAGGATATCCTATCAGAGCGACTTTGATGAAAATCTAACTGATGCGGTTCAGATATTCAGTGGTGTCACTTCTCCTAATACAGGCAAAATGTGTGCTGTTGAAACTGCTCCTGCAGGTTTTTCTGAGGTAACTCACTGACCAGAATCCTAGGAAAATGAAGCTTTGGTTTTCCGGCTAGACTGTTTTAAGACTGTCAGAACCCTTTTTCAGCAATGGTACCTTGTATTTTTATATTGTAGCTGAGTTTTAAAGTATGCTGTGTGTGTATGTATGTCCTACTTGTTAAGTTTTTTTTACTGGTGGTTAGCTTATTGGTTAGACAGTTTTGATTAATATGTTGCTTTTGGTTATGAAAAACACTTAATGAAAATATTAAGCCTTGTGGTCTTCTGCTTGCGAGGTATTGTTCTAGATACTGATGGTACAACTGTGGGGGAATCATGGTCCTGCCCTTGAGCAGCTTTTAGTCCGCTGGAGGAGGCAGACACAGGAGCTTATTATTTACACAACTGGCAAATCAGTTGAAGATTCTGTATGGGCTGTGCAGCTCATGTCTGGGGGGTCTTGCACTTCTGGACTTTCTGCCCCTAACTGGTTTAAAACTGGTGCTATTTAGCAATTTCTCCTTTGCTCTGCTCACTTCTTTCAAGTAGGTGTAGGGATTTTTGTTGTTTATAACTACCTAAAGCCTGTTAAGATTATCAAAAGATCTTAAGCAACGTGAATTAAATACTACTATTGAGGATCCTTGACCTTCAGTCCCATGTAAACAGGAAGCTGGTTCTCTCATCACTGGCTTTCCTTGCTTTAGTTCTGGTGTGACACAGCTGGTTCCCATGTCTTTAGTGAGAGGAGACCCCTGACACCATTAGATCTGAAACTTTTTTTCTGTAACTTCTCTGTCACACAGATTCAGTAAATATCCTATTGATCTTATTTGGACTGGCATAATAAATGTTTGATAGTAAGATTCTTCGGGGTCCAATAAGTTTTGTTTGTAGCTTAGAGTCACTTATAATCTCTGCTCCCTCTGCTTTTTTCTAGTTGATATGAAATCATCATCTGGCAAAACCAGTAGTTTCTCATCAGAACTTTGATTATTTGGACATACACCATGATTTAGAAATGGTGTCCACATTAATAAGAATGTGTTTTCTATCCTAGCCATTAATGATTTTCCTATCCTAGCTATTGATACCTTTTTTAATAATTGCATAACATTTTTTGTTATTTTTTTTAAGATTTATTTATTTATTTTAGAGAAAGGGTGTGGGAGAGAGCACGAGTGGGAGGGGTAGAAGCAGAGGGTGAGAGAATCTCAAGCAGACTCCACACTGAGCATGGAGCCCGGCATGGGGCTCGATCTCACAACTCTGAGATCATGACCTGAGCCAAAACCAAGAGTTGGATGCTTAACCCACTGTGCCACCCGGACACCCCCATTTTTCGTTATTTTTGAGAATTTCCCCCTTTAAAATTAATCAATATAGTTTTCTAGACTTCAAACAATGAGGCAACAAAAACAAAATGTTTGAAAACAAAAATGTTTCATGCATTTCCTGTTCTGATTTTTGTTCCTCTGTTTCCCTTCTCCTGTCTTTTTGGGGGTTTATTTGAAATACTCTTTTTGGAGATCCACTTATCCATTAACTTATCCTATAAACTTTTCCTAGGGAGCTGAAATTTGTTTCGTAGGATGTTTAGGCTGCAGTTACAGTGAGTAGTCTGTTTTTAGTTCAATTCTTGTATGCTTTCCTAATGGTAAGAAATGATTGATTGGTTTAACATCAGATTCCTAGATAATCTGTAATGCTTAAATCTTTACAAAGATCTCAGTACTCCTGTAAGTAATAAGACTTAATATTTCTTTAATTTTATCCCCCCCAAGAAATCTTTTGAATCTGGTTTAACACAGTCTGGATATTTAGTTGGAGAGTCTGTTTCACTTTCCGAGCTCACAGAGGCTTCAAGTGGTAAGTATTTAATCTTTCCTTAGTACGCAGTTCACCTGTTGAAACATATGTTCAACAGACATTTATGGTTGGTTTACCTATGTGCTAAACTTCGGGAAAACTGAAGCAGTGCCGGAGCTCTCAGTCTAGTAGAAATGTTTCCGAATTCTAGTTATAGGAGAGATGACTTTTTTTTTTCTTAAACTGCAACTGATAAGAGTGAGTGAAATATTTCCAAGTTGACAGAATCTGTTATAAAAAAACAGGATGAACATGTAACATGTATTCTGTAAGAGAAAACACTACATGTGTGTTGTTTTTGTTGTTGTTTTTTAAGTGTGTGGAAAGGGACCAGAATTCAAAACTTTCCCCAAATCAGTATGTTTGTATTGAGTGAAAGTCACCAGTAAGGTATTAGGTTTACTATCGACCTACCTGTGTCTTTATCTTTAAAGTAAAACTTAGAGACATATAGTTAGGTCTTGCTTTTTTATCCATTCTGAGAGCCTCTGCCTTTCCATGGGGATATTTGGCCCACTAACCTTTCAAGTCATTATTGAAATGGTTTGATTTATAAATCTACCGTTTTTGGGGTGCCTAGGTGGTTCAGTCGTTAAGCGTCTGCCTTTGGGTCCTGGGATCGAGCCCCGCGTCGGGCTCCCTACTCCACAGGAAGCCTGCTTCTCCCTCTCCCGCTCCTCCTGTTTGTGTTCCCTCTCTCACTTTCTGTCTCTGTGTCAAATAAATAAATAAAATCTTAAAAAAAAAAGATCTATCATTTTTTCATGCATTTCCTGTTCTGATTTTTGTTCCTCTGTTTCCCTTCTCCTGTCTTTTTTGGGGTTTATTTGAAATACTCTTTTTGGAAATCCACTTATCCATTATCTTTTATTTATTTTTTAATATTTAAAATTTTTTAAAGTAAGCTCTAATCCTCACATGGGGCTTGAACTCATGTCCCCGAGATCAAAAGTTGCTGTAAGTAATCAAAAGTTGCTGGACTACTGACTGAGCCAACCAGACGCCCCTACACATTACCTTTTAAACTATACCTCATTGCATCTTTTTTGTTAAGGTTACCCTAGGGATTGCAAGATACATCTTTAACCTTTCAGTCCACTTAGAGTTGATATTGTACAACTTTATGTAAAAGTGTGATATAATGATTTATAAAAAAGTATATATTGGTTATCTAAATGAATATTGAATGAATAAATATTAATAATATTCAGATGACCAAATACACAGTTTTCCAATAGATCTGGTCTTCATCCACAGTTCCTGAAAATACTTTATAGCTATAAAGGTGACATGGGTGTCTTACTACTACTAATGAAGGTGACTTTTGGACCCCACCCAGCGGGGGGGTGGGGGGGGCGGAGCTGGTTGCCAGGAGGACCAAACCATGTGATTGGAGGATGGAACTTTAAGCCCCACACCTGACTTCTGAGGAGGGTACTGGGGCTGGAGGTTGAATCAGCCAATGACGTTATCGGTCATGGCCATGGAATGAAGCCCCTATAAAAATTCAGAAACACAGGGTTCAGAGAGTGTCCTGGTTGGTGAACACATGGAAATGTGGGGAGAGTGTTACTTCTAGAGAGGTCATGAAAGCTCTGTACCTCTTCCGCAGACCTCTCCTTTGTTTTCATCCTCTGGCTGTTGATTCGTATCCTTTCTCATTTCCTTTAATAAACTCGTAAACACAGTGTTTCCCTGAGTTCTGTGAGCTGCTCTGGCAAATTAAAAAAAATTAAAAGAACCTCTTTTTTAAAATTATTATTATGTTATGTTAATCACCATACATTACTTCATTAGTTTTAGATGTAGTGTTCCATGATTCATTGTTTGCGTATAACACCCAGTGCTCCATGCAGAACGTGCCCTCTTTAATACCCATCACGAGGCTAACCCATCCTCCCACCTCCCTCCCCTCTAGAACCCTCAGTTTGTTTTTCAGAGTCCATTGTCTAAGAGAACCTCTTGATTGATAGTCACTCAGTCAGAAGTTTAGGTAGCAATCTGGACTTGTGACTGGTACCTGAAGTCCAAGGAGGAGGTTGTTGGAACCTCCAGTCTGTAGCACGTCGGTCAGAGGCACAGGTGACAGCCTAGGACTTGGGACTGGCATCTTAAATGGGGGTTGGGGAAGTTCTTGTAGGACTGAGCCCTTAACCTGTGGAACCTGATACTGTCTCTGGGTAGGGTCAGACTTGGGTTGAATTCTTGGATACCCTCCTGGTGTCTGAGAATTGCTTGGTGGCACTGTGTAGGAGAATCCCTTCCCCCAAGTTAGCATTGGGTCCTGGAACCCAAAAAGAGTTGGTGTTCGGGGAAATAGATCTAGACAGTTTGTAAAGTTTCTATTTCCTGTCCACCCACCCATGTCTTTTATGGTCTTTTACACTATAGATATCCTCTATATTACTTTTATATTCATTTTAAATCCCGCAGTGTTTTTGCTTTACACAGTATGTTTCATGCAGTGTTTTTCTTTTATATCAACATACGTACACATAAATAATTAGATATAATTCAAAATTGACCTGGGCCTCATGGATTTGTATTTGCTAAATCTGGCAGCCCTAGTCAGGAATGACTGAGATAAAGTTCCCTGGTGCCCCTTCGTCGTCCCTGGCTGCTTCTGTCACTGAGAGAACGAAAGATGTCTGAAGCAAATGGCCTGGGCCACTCACCACCACACGCTAATGCAGCTCCGAACAAGCGTGCCCCTCCCCCCTTTCCTCCTGTTATAGTAGATCCTCTGTCCTCTGATCCAAGGCCAACCCCTTCATGGTGGTCCCTTCCCTCTTTGAGGACCTTCTGCCTGAGGTGTCCCCTCTTTTCTGAGTTGTGCATTTCTCCCATTAACATACAATGTGCTTTATTATCTGCAGTCTTAAACTGGCCCTTGTCCCCGGATTTCCTTCCAGCCAAAACTCCATTTCCTTGCTTTCCTCTATGGCAGAGCTCCCTTTAAGCACAGGTTGCACTCGGTCTCCTCGCCTCCCATTCTTGCTTGCTGCAGCTCCAAACAGGCCTTGGTCACCGCTTCATTGCCATCTGTCAGTCACTCCAACAGACCCTCTCCTCAGGGTCCCAGCATGGCAGGCAGAGCTGCCAGTGCACTCCTGGGAGAAACCATTTCTTCGCTGGGCATCGGGACACCATTCTCTCTTGTTTTCCCTGTTTAATTCACCATTCCTTATTTGTCTGTTTTTTCTTATTCCTTCTCTTCCATCCTTTAACTGTTAAACATTTGAATGCCCTGGGTTTGGTGCTTGGACTTTTTCTCTCTGCACTCACTCCCTAGGTGATCATGGGCATTCCCACAGCATTCAGTACTGTCTGCATGCTGTTGACTTCAAAATTTAAATACCTGTCCTTGGCCTCTTTCCTGAACTCTTAAGTGCCCAACTGCCTTTTCTGGTCTCCATAGGAATGTCTAATAAACATCTCAGACTTAACATACTCAAAAAGGTCTTGACTATTTTTCCTTCTCTAGTCTGCTCATCTTTTTTTTTTTTTTTTTTGGTCTTTCATCTCAATTCACCCAATTGCTTGCATCAAAAACCTTGGAGTAACTTTGGCTCCCCCCCTTTTAAAGGTTAAACTTGCAGGGGCGGACAGGTGGCTCAGTCGGTTAAATGTCTGGCTCTTGATTTCGACTCAGGTTGTGATCTCACAGTCCTGGGATTGAGCCTGTGTTGGGCTCCACACTCAGCGGGGGGTCTGCTTGAGTTTCTCTCTCTCTCTCCCTCTCTCAAATAAATAAAGTTAAACTTCAGTCCCATTAACAAATGCTGTTGGTTTTATCTTGACGGTATATCAAATGTCTAACCACTTCCCACCTCCTAACTATTATCACTGTGGCCCAGGCTCCCACCTTCTCTTGCCTGGGTGGTTTTGTGTTTCCTCTTATGTGCTTTCCCTGCTTCTATCCTTGCTGACTCCCCTCTTTAGAGTCTTCAACATGGTGTCCAGGGTGCTCCTTTTAAAATCCTAGCTACACTATGTCATCCCCCTTCTCAGAATCTTTCATTGACCTCCCACTGTACTTAGAATTGTACCCAGTCCACACCTGACCTAGTCCTTAGCCTTCTCTTGGAGCTTCTTAGCTCTCTTCTCCTTGCTCACACTGTTCCAGCCACACTGGCCTTGTTCTGCCTCTTGTGTCTGGTACATTACCATCTCAGATCTCTGCACTTGGCTTCATGCATGTAAGGTTCTTCCCTAGATATATGCATGGCTCACTTCCTCACTTCATTCAGATGCCTGCTTGATCCCTGAACATCTCAAAACAGCAACTCCCCCCTCCCTCTTTATCCGGCCATATCCCCTTAATTTCGACATTATTTCCTTTAAAGGCACATATTACTACTTATTACCTGTACATTTCTTTTACTTTTTATTTTGAGGTGACTGTAGAGTCACATGCAGCTGTACAAAAATCATATCTAAAGGGTTTCAGTGTCCCATCCCGCCAGGTTCCCCACGGGGTAACATCTTGGGTAGCGGTCATACAGTGTCACAAGCAGGAAATTGACACTGATACAGTCCACTGACTTTTTTTCAGATTTCACCCATTTTACGTCCATTCATTTGTGTGTATATTTAGTTCCATGTAATTTTATCATGTGTAGACTCATGTGACCACACTGCAGACAAGATCGGGAACAGTTCCAGCACAGGGGTCCCTCACACTGTGCTTCCCGTCAACAGCCATAGCTCCCTCTCTCCTTTTCCCCCTCCCAGGTGTTTTATATTGTCTGTCTGTCTCCCAAAGTATCGGAGATTTTTGTGTTTTATTCATCGTTGTCTCTCTAGCACCTAGAAAAGAGTGCCTGTCACATCATAAGTGCCCAATATGTATTTGTTAAATGTCGATCATGAGGAAGTTCTCTCTTGTGAGGAAAAACATGCAGGAGGAAGCCTTGCCTTGTTTGAGAGCACACACGGCAAATACAATTTCGATTTAATCCTCTTTCTCCTCACCTCCCATCTTCTCCCTCCTACCACCCTCGCCTGCTGAAATGCCTCTGACCCCAGCAGTGAAATTGGTCCTCCTTCATTGCTCACCTCAGGTTGGTTTTCTGGTGCCAGGCACAGGGGTCTCGAGGCCTGGGCACTTCCTTAGATTCATGGGAGCCGAAACTCCTTGCTTGCCTTTACCCTCAGTAGTTAGATTTGAACTGAAAGCTATGGCCAGCGCCACTTCTCTTCTTTATATATCCAAATGAAATTCCAGATGTCATTCCCTAAGCCGGATATATGAAGGTAGAACTTCTTACAGCGTGTTATTCTCTTTGCAAATACATAATATTTTTGGTGTAGAACAACCTGATTCAGATGTCTCTCTCTTGTTTACATGTTTCCTTTGAAGGAGTCAAGGTTGCTGAGTGTATAGAGGGCAAAAGAGCTTGGGATGCTGTTCCAATTGAGAACTTTACAGAAGTGAGCACAGACAGCGTTCCCCAAGTCAGGTCCCTGGTCACTCCACAGTGTAAGAGGGACATTCCATCCTCTGAGACCTTTGTACTTCGTTCTGTGCTAAAGAAGCCCTCTGTTAAGCTGTTTCCAGAAGGCCTGCAGGTAAGTTTAGAGCTACTTTTTCTAAAGCAAATTGAATACTCATTTTGGCTTCAAGCGATTCTTGTGAATTGTTGTATGTCCTACTGGTTTCAAAGGAGATATCTTGCCCTAAATGTTTACCCCTCCTTTTCTTACTTAGAGCACTGTGCAGAGTTCCTTCCTTTCTTCCTTCCTTTTTTCTAAACTCAGTATGGAATATAACTTGTAGAATTTAATATATGTAGACTGTATATTATAAGAGTTTCATAGTTATTAAAGTGTGTTAATTATTTCCATCTAAAATATTTGGTCTCAGAGATAGCTTTTTCACAGGCATGTATGTTTCTCTAAACTCAGTTCATATGAGCTAAGAGTAGGTTGATGGGAACTAGCTGGCACTTATTGAGTATTTTTTTTTTTATTATTTTTAATTTTTTTATGAGCGTACGAGCACACGAGTTGTGGCAGGGAGGGGTAGAGGGAGACGAGGAGAGAGAATCTTAAGCAGACTCCACACTCAGCACAGAGCCTGACGCGGGGCTCCATCTCATGACCCTGAGATCATGACCTGCGTCGGATGTTTAACGGACTGAGCCACCCATGCCCCCCTTATTGAGTACTTTCTATGGACAGTTCTGGCATAGATCATGTACATGCAGCCTAGACTCCAAGGAGAATATTAGCCCCATTTTAAGTAAACTTAGGCTTGAGGTTGTTAAATGAACCCAGATAAATCTGATACTGAAATTCATGGCATGCTATAAGTGCTCTGAGAGGTTGAGAGGATGGGCTGTGGAGTCCCAAGTGCCTGGTTTCAGATCCTCTGAAGTTTAAGAGCTGTGCCAATTATGTACCCTTTTTGTACCCTGGTTTCCTTATCTCTGAAAGGACAATATGAGTGACTACCTTACAGGTAATTTGAGCATTAACTGGGATAATAATATGAAATTAGCACCAGTGCCTGGCAAATGAGAAGTAATTTTTTTTTCAATCCATAGGCATTTAAATATATAACCATGCCTACACATCTGTTTCTAAAGCCAAAATGAACTAGACCACCTTCTATCGACATGAATAGTTATGGTCAATGGTTATTTTAAATGTTTAACAGTTTTTCTGGTTAAAGAGCTGATGTGGGTCTCTATGCAGCACTGCTTATTCATATCTTGTATTCGTTTTATTTTTCTCAAACAGACTTCGCGTCTCTCCATGATCCATATAACCCTTACTGATTAACAGCATCACATAGCAAACATCAAGTCCTACCACTAAAATTATACAAAGATTTTTATAATCAACAATCTTTTTACTGAGCTCTCCAAAGTTTGTAGGTGTATACAGTTTGAGTTGTTGGTAAATTTTCGTGGTTGTTTTAATTGAAGATAGCCTAAAAGGTCTCAAGAATTTTGTTTTCTACGTTCACTTATTTCACAAATATTGGTATGGGCATTTTCCTTGTCAGGAAGATGAAATGGACTTGAGAGCTGCTCAAGGAGGTTTGTTCGGGGCAGGACAGTTGTTGAGAGAAGGTGTTGCTTCCTGGAATTGGGTGCACTGGCGAAAATGAATAGCTGTAGAGAGCAGGGGCTGGTCCGGGGTTTAGGAAGCAGGCGATGATTTGGAGGTGACTCATGGAGCCCACAGCCCTGGCTCCCGCCTGCATCACTCCAGTGGCCCTGTGTGGAGTGGGGCCCTGTCTGGTGTTTCAGGACTTGCACTGTCCCTCCTCCCCAGCTTGCTGACTCTCTAAGCTTCTTGTTCCTAACTCAAGAATACAGTAATGTGGACAGGAGGTTTACACACTTAGAAAAGGTGTGATTTCCATATTTAAAAGACAGAACACCCCATCATGCCATTTACCTTTTTGTTTTCTTATTTCCGTGCAATTCTTATACCTGTAGATAGTCAGCCTTATCTGACGCCATCTGTGGTATGAACTAGCCACTCACATTTTCGTTATCTTCATTTGCCAGATTAAAAATGATGGAATGAGTTTAGCCCATATTATGAATTTCTGTTCTTTAATCTTGGCCTAAAATACTATTTACTAAAGTAATGTTTAGGGCATCCAGTTTTTCTTTGTGGCTCATGTCATTAAGCCAGAACAATTAGGAAAGTAAAGGTAATCTGCAACGCTACATAGTATCTATCCTTGGAAGACCGGAGTTCAGAGTGGCCTTTCTTAATGATTGTACATATGCATTTATATGTGTAAGATTATTCACCGATGTTTATTTTGTTTAGGAACACTGTGACAATCTCTGTGATGATGGGACTCATCCAAGCTTAATCTCAAATCTTGCAAACTGTTGCAAAGAACAAAAAGCAGGTAAAAAGTTCACATTTATTTTGAAGCCTGAGGATTTCATTTTCTTGTGAAGTATCTGATCTAGTATGTGGTATTTTCAGTGATCTGCTAAATGCCTTGATGCTTCTCACATTACATGGGAATGAAGAACAGTTGGCTGGAATCTCTTTGGAGAGCCTCCCAATTGGTCTGTCCCTTTCATCTGCCCATTTGTGCTTAATGGCAATACTTGTAAAGGAAACTGATATTCCAATTTTGTAAACTTCTAAGACATTTATGCAAAATTTACTTTAAAATCTATTAACCATATTTTAGAACTACTGCTTAACCTTTTCCATTTTGCATTTCTTTTTTCTACAAACTGTATTTTCTATTATACAAATAAGAGCTAAATCTAATCATGTTAAAAGAGTCTAGGGTATGCATTTTTAGATAAGAAATAGGCTAATTTTTTTTATCTATCCATTTATTATCTATAGAAGGTCAAGAAAATTATAAAGTGCCAGCTTTTCTAAATATCAGAAAGAGGAAGAGAGTTACTTTTGGAGAGGATCTAAGCCCTGAGGTGTTTGATGAGTCCTTGCCAGCAAATACTCCATTGCGTAAAGGAGGAACACCTGTCCGCAAAAAGGATTTAAGTAGTATCAGTCCCCTGCTACTTGAGCAATCACCAGTTCCTGTGCAGTTGCAGTTATCACAGCCAAATTTTGATGACAAGGGGGAGAATCTTGTAAGTGTGAAAAGTGGAACAAACTTGTTTCTATTTTCATCAGACCTCACCTGTTTTGTGTGAATAATAATTATGCTTCAAAATCATGAAATGGACTAAATGATGTGTCATGGTATAAATTAATGCATTTTTCTAGGTAGGTTTTTTTTTCCCCCACCCTGTGTTCATCATGACAGGTGCACGGGGTATTAGCTGTGTTCTCATACTTGCATGACTCCTTGTACATAGCATATTTCATGGACCCTAAACACTGTTGACTGTAAGATGTACCATGGTTTTATGTATCACCAAGAAAAGAGGCTAGAACCAAGCTGTCACACATGATGAACTGTAGGATATACTCAGATTTCAGAGTTGTGAAGATGTGAGAGAGCAACAACCTTAGAACTGATACACTGTAAATACAGACTTTTTTCCTCTAAGATGAATTTCTGTAGGTAGAATTACTGGATGAAAAAATAGGATTTTTTTTTACCTTTTTGATACATATTGCTGAGTATCCAGAAAGTGTACTAACTTGGACTTAACAGCAGTATAAATGGTTTTAATTTACCACACTTGGTAAACCCTGCGTATTAACTGTACTTTTTTTTTTTTTTTTAATTTTTTTAAGATTTTATTAGAGAAGAAACTTTTTTAGTCTGGTATCAGTATAAACTAACATCTTTTGAATTATTGATTTCTTTAAAATATGTTTACAGTAGAACTTATATGTACTTATTGAACAGATCTAAATATATATTGACTATCATGCTTTTTTAGGACTTAAGAATACTAGATAATCTAGCCAAGTGTTTTGTTTTTGCCACAAATAGTATCAGTATGCTATTATATCCAAGTCATCTATTATCTTTAAATAAGTTAGAATTTTTTCCTCACAGTTTATTTCCAATGATGCTCCGTCTGTTAACACACAGTCTTTTAAATTGAGCATCTCTTCAACTGTACTTTTTAAAATAGCTTAATAGGAGAAAAAGATGACTTGAAAACTTTTAGTTTACTAATGTGGTTTGAACATTTTTCATGTGTTTATAAGCCATTTGAATTTCTTTAGAGAATTGTCTGTTAATCTTTACCCATTTTTATACTGGGACCATCATTCATTCTCTCCCTTGCCTATTATACTTTGAAATAAAAATATTCCACTTTCAGCCAAGGTGGAGTAACAGGGACCTAATTTATGTTTTCAAAAGAAACAAAAAAACAAAAACAAATGAGAAAATATACACAACAATGATTCTCAGACATAGAACATCAGGAAGCACAGGAGAGTAATCCCAAGAGAGGGGTAACAAATGAGGCAAGCTGTACAGGAGCCCCAACTTACTGCCTGGGCTGGACTTCCAGGCGACAGCACAGGAAGGGTCTACCTTGGTGGAGCCTGGCAGTCTCCATGAGTTGAGAAAATGGAGCTGGGGTCTGGGAAAGCACAGGAGGCTAGAGCTCGTGGCAAAGGACCGGAGAGGAGAGAGCTGCCCAGAGAGCTCTGGAGATGTGCGTAGGGTCTCACTTGAGCCTCAGCAGAGTACTGGTCAGTGTGTGCTTGTGAATAAACTGCCTGATGCCAGGGAAAGGACTACCCAAATGGAGCAGAGGGAACAATCCCTAGAGCTTACAGAGGGACAAGAAGTGTCCCCAGCAACCTGAGTGATAGAAAAGCCTTATAATTCAGAGGGCATCAGGTACTCAGGAGAGTATTGCCTCACTAGTAGAACAGAGTTAGACTAAAAGCCTAGCAGAGCTTAAAAGCAAGCTTTGAAAGGACACAGCTTTCTTCCAAGCGACTTTACTGCATTGTATAACCTAGCTCAAGAACAGCAAAACTGTCCAGTGTCAAATAGCATTAAATTCAAAATGTCTGACATTTCAATTAAAAACTAATAGATGTGTAAGAAAAGATGCCCCATAATGAGAAAAATCAGTCCCTAAAAGTAGACCCAGAAATTACACATATGGTAGAATTTGTAGACGAAGGCATTGAAAAAGTTACTTTAACTATCTTTCATATGTTCAAGAAAGTGGAGGAAAGATTGAACTTGTTAAGAACATGAAAGATACAGAAAAGATCCAGCTTGAACTCTGTACATCACAGTCACTGAAAATTATAATCTTTGGGAAGAAAAATATGTTGAATGAGATTAATAGCATATTAGAGATTGCAAAAGAAAAAATTAGCAAACTTAAAGACGTAACAATAGAAATTATTCTCCATGAAAGAATAAAAATGAACAAAAATGAGCAATTGGTGAGCTTGTTACAAATTTAGGTGACATAATATGCATGTAATTAGAGTCCCCAAAGGAGAGGAGAGATCAGAAAGAACAGAAAAAGTATTTGAAACATAATGGCTGAAAATTTTCCAATTTGATAAAATTATAAACTCAAATCTGAAGTTTAAATTCCTAGCACAAGAAACATGAAATAGTATGAAAAGACACATCATTGCTTAGAATCCATGATATATGGCCTGCGAGGACCTAGAGCAAAAGTACCTGTGACATAAAGAACAACAAACATGAGAGGCAGCAGAACTCTCATTAGAAACTACAAGCCAAAGGACAACACAGCAGCATTTACTTGGAGCAAAAAACCAAAGCAGTAACAACAACAAAACTTGTCAAACTAGAATTCTATATCCATTGAAACCACCTTTCAAAATAAAGGTGAAGGTCAGGCTTTTTCAGTCATCTGGAAGCTGAGCGGATTCATTACCATAGTGGGTGAGCATTAGAAGAAATGCTGGAGGAAGTCCTTTAGTCAAAAAAAAAAAAAAAGGCTCCCAATGGAAATCTAACAAAGGAATGAAGAGCACTGAAGCTGCTAACCCATGTGGGCAAATGTAACAGATTTTATTATTATTAATCTCTATAACAGATTATTTAAAGCAAGGATAACAATAGCATATTGTTTGGTTTATAACATGTCAGTAAGATACATAACAAAAGTAATATGGCATAGAGGCTGAGAGGGGTTCTTAGGCTGTACACAAAATAGTGTGAGTTAAACACGTGTGCTGTAAACCTTAAATGCTACAGAACGACAGCAAAAATGTGTGGGATGCACGAAAGCAGGCTTAGAGGGAAATAATTAAAGCCTGTATTTCAGCATAAGAGACATCTCAAATTAATGATCCCAACTTCCATTTTAAGAAACTAATAAAAGGGGGCGCCTGGGTGGCTCAGTCGTTAAGCGTCTGCCTTTGGCTCAGGTCATGATCCTGGGGTCCTGGGATCAAGCCCCACATCGGGCTCCCTGCTTAGTGGGAAGCCTGCTTCTCCCTCTCCCACTCCCCCTGCTTGTGTTCCCTCTCTCACTGTCTCTTCCTGTCGAATAAATAAATAAGATCTTAAAAAAAAAGAAACCAATAAAAGTAAATTAAAGCCAAAGTAAACAGAAGGAATTAATAAAGATAAATGCAGAAATCAATGAAGTAAAAAACAAAAACAGAGAAAAATCATTGAAATAAAAAAGATGCTTTAGAAAAATAAATGAGTAAACTTTTAATCAGACTATTCAGAGGAAAAAGGGAAATACTCAAATTACCAATATAAGGAATGAAATGTAACTTGACCACATATTCTAACAGGTTTTAGAAGGATAATACAGATAAAAAGATAATAAGAGTATTATAAAGAACTTAATGCCAATAAATTCAACAACTTGAGTAAACTAGACCCATTCCTTGAAAAACATGAACCACCAAATCTCAGACTAGAAGATACAAATTACCTCATTAGGCCTATATCAACTGAAGAAATTTAAGTTGTAGGTAAAACCTTCCCACAAAGAAAACTGTATGTCCAGATGATTTTGCTAATGAATTCTACCAAAGACTTAAGGAAGACCTAATTTTATGTATACTCTTTCAAACAAATTGAGGAGATGAGAGTAATTCCCAGTTCATAAATGCCAGCATTAACCTGAGACCATAGTCAGACATTATAAGAAAACTATCACCTCATGAACATAATACATCATGACCAAGTGAGATTTAACCCAGAGATGCCAAGTTGGTTTAATATCTGAAAAACGATCTATAATTCACCATATTAACAAATTAAGGAAAACCATATGGTCATTTCTGATAAGAACTCTGAGCAAACTGGTGATTAAAGAAAATTTCTTCAAACTGACAAGTTTTATTTATGAAAAACCAACAGCTACCATCATACAATTATGTGGGAAATAAAGATTTGACATCTGCATTTGTATTGCCATTTTCCCTGAAGTTCCCCTGAATAATACTCAAATGTTAGGTTGTGTTTATTAACGGAATGTTCCATTTACTATAGAATTAGGACATGTGATTTTAAGTAACCCAAAGAGTAAGTTATTAATAGATCATTATGGCTACTTCCATTTAATATTTTATTTGTTGGACTGTAGTTAGCAAACATAGTTTCATTAAAGATTGGTAAAATTATAAAGTATTTTTATATTCAGTATCTTTGTTTTGCTTTGACTTTTTTTCTTCATCTTTTATTGATTTCCCATCTCTATGCTTACTACAGTTCCACTTACAAAAAGAAATCCTTATTTTCTCTTTGGGTACATTACATGTCCACTGAATTTAAGGATGTCTAATTTCTACTCTTGTTTTTCTTTGTTTAGGAAAACATAGAACCTCTTCAGGTATCATTTGCAGTTCTGAGTCCTCTTAGTAAGTCTTCAATCTCTGAGACTCTTTCAGGTAGTAACTTTTATTTATCTTAAAACCAGATTAAGTGTCATTTTCAATATGTGTATATATGAAACTAAACCTTAATTTCCTTTTAAAATTTTATTATAACAATGCATGCTTGGTTTAAAAAACCATATAGTATAGAAAAGCTTATAAGAAGTCTCTTGGGGCCCCTGGGTGGCTCAGTTGGTTAAGCGTCTGACTCTTGATTTTGGCTCAGGTCATGATCTCAGGGTGGTGAGATTGAGCCCTGAGCAGGGCCCTGAACTCAGCAGGGAGTCGGAGCCTGCTTGAGATTCTCTCCTTCTCCTTCTGCCCTTCCCCCTGCTTGTGTGCTCTCTCTCCAAAATATATAAATCTTTAAAAAAAAGGGGGGGTCTCTTACCCATCCAGGTCTCACACCTTGTAATCACCCACAGTTAACTTCAGTAGATGGTAGCCCCGTTTTTCAAGTCCCTGCAGACAGTGGAGTTGCCCTCTCAACTCCTGTCAACAGTAGGCTCCTTGTAACAGTTCGCACAACTGAATGATGTGCACCACAAGGGTCATTTTTCAGGGTCCAGAATTGTTCACCAACATTAAGTTGGCCTGTTGGGCACTGGCACTTTTCAAGTCCTTGTCTTCTTTATGATATGACAAGGCAAGCCAGGACTTGGATGACAAATGTCATGGGAACCATTATTCATGTCTCTCCCTTGATGGAAGTCCCTTAGTGGCTTCTCATTGGCTGGAAGACACAAACCAAATTCACTGCTACAGAATCCAAGACCTGGAGTGTGAAGTTAGAGCTAAACCTGGAAGCGTAGTCTGTCACGTTCCAAAGCCCCTATGGTCTTCTATGCATTATACTGCCTTTCATTTCTACCATTAAAAGTGATCAAATGAAAAAGTTACCTGAATTTTTTAAGTTAAAAAAATTATTTTCATGATCATCTTAATGCCCTTTATTGCAATTTCACTGTACAAGATGTAGCTTGGAATAAATGGACATGAGTGAAATATGGTATTTACTATAATGTGATTTCGTCTGTTATCTTAGGGTAATATGGTATGCATTCTCCTTGGAAAGTGGTGAAAGTTTCTGGGTATTCAGTAAACTTCTGTTTTTGAATCTCAAAATTTATTCTTGGTAGTTAAATTATTTATGTTTAGATATTATATTATGCTAAAAGCAGAGGTGCCTATCCAAAACAGTATCCAGTATATCTGAAAAATGATGGCTCTTACAACTTTTTGTTAGCTACCCTAATTTTGCTTGTGTCTTCTTCATCAGGAACTGATACATTTAGCTCTTCAAAAAACCATGAGAAAATAGCCTCCCATAAAATTGGTAGAATAACACGGGCCTCTAACAGAAGAAGTGTAAGTGTTTGTATTTGGCACAATGTGTTTGTTTTTAAATCTTGCTATAGATTTTTTCTGTTTTTATGACCACAGGATTATGGGTAAAATCTTGATTTGATTAATGTCACTGAGAGCTAACACCTTACCTATGTAGCATATAACCCATGGTAATGCTGTTTTTCTGATTTGATTTTAATTCTGTTAGAAGAAAAATACAATAAAACAAGTTGCTTTCAGTTTGTGTTAATGTAGAAGGTAATCTGTTTGGAACATTTATTTGGGATCTATGTGGCTTAATGGATTTTATTGAGGTACACAGTGGAGAAGAGTAGTGTGTAATTGGGGCGCCTGGGTGGCTCAGTCGTTGGGCGTCTGCCTTCGGCTCAGGTCATGATCCCAGGGTCCTGGGATCGAGCCCCACATTGGGCTCCATGCTCAGCGGGAAGCCTGCTTCTCCATCTCCCACTCCCCCTGCTTGTGTTCCCTCTCTCGCTGTCTCTCTGTCAAATAAATAAATAAAATCTGTAAAAAAAAAAAAAGAGTAGTGTGTAATTAACAGAGCCAGAAAATGGCATAATTATATCTTTTTACAAAAATATTTCCCTTTTTAATTTTTTTTCTTAACACTGGGTTTTAACTCTTTTCAGTAGGAACATAACTCCCATTAAATGCATGTCTTTTCCTATTTCATCAAACTAGATAAAATTGGATTTTTGTCTAAATTCATAAATATATAATATACCATTATGGGGCTTTTAGCTGATATTGTTGGGTGATAAACCTAGAATTCACATTTAGATAATCTAAATGCATGTTCCACCCATAACTCAACAGGAGTTAGCTCCTAAATTGTAGATGCTCAGTAAATATTTGATAAAGAAATAAATCAACTAATTTTAAACTTTTTTTTCTTCCTTAAAATAATGGACAGAGTGCATATGCTTCTGGGTCTGTTTAATAAGATCAGAAATTGGTAATTTTCTCCCCCATTCGAGTTTAAGATGGTTAAAGTACTTCTAATGGAATTTGTGAATTAAAAGGAACTGGGATAGAAAATGTAGAAGCAGTGTGGGAAGGAAAATAAATGTGAGAAACATACATCAAGATGCACTTGCTTGTGTTTTATGGTATCCCTCCTTTAAATTTTCTTTATAGCAATTGATCACTTTTGCAGAAGAGAATGTTTGCAACTTACTTAATACAGAAGCTCAGCCTTGTAAAGAAAAGAAAATTACTAGGAGGAAATCTCAGGAAAGGAAGCGCATAGGAGGGGTACTTCCTAAAAAGAATCAGGTAAGTGTGTGTTTAAAGATATAATAAGAGTAAAAGCGGTATATTTCTTTGTTGTATGATTAGGAAAGCATGGAAACAAAATTTTTCTAGTTAACATTAGACCAAGAGTATTAAAATCATCATAGAATAGAAAGGGCCAGAGGCAATTATATACTCAGCTGTAATTACCCGAGAACCATTTTTATATCTTCATTGTATTATGTACATTTAGTGCAGTAAAACATCAGCACTCAAATGTTAAATTCTTACCTTTGAATCAAATCTAACCTCACCCTATGCAAGGAACCCTCTCATTTCTTAGACAAAGGTGAGTGTGCCATCTGCCCCTTGTTTGCCTTCACTTCTACCAGGGGCTAGATCTCTTCCCATATTTGAGGAAGAATTTAGAAACTGGCTCTTCATCTTCCTCGACACTTCAAGGCCTGTGCTGGCTCAGGGGGACTTCACGATCTCTTTATGGATAGCCGATGCACCTTAACTCAGTCACCGGACCTCGGCCACTTCAGTGATCCAGACCTTCCTCTGCCATTCCCCACAGCTTGTTGGTCCCTAAGACCTGCCCACTTTTAATAGTCCACACTTCTGTGTCCCATTCACTGTCCCAGCTGCCTCTCCAGCCAGCGTTCTCACTCCCTCACATACCTGTTTCAGTACTAACGATCTTCTGGCCCCTCTGCGTACCCTCCAGCATTCAGATATCCCGTCATTTCCTGCATTTCCTTGTTCACCTGGAACTGCCTGATCTGTTTCACCACCTCTTGTCAGTAACGCCCGTTCTCCATCCGTTTCATTCCACTTCACCTCTGGATTAATCCACCCCCACCCCCTCTCCCATCTAATGTTGCTCCTAGGGAAACTCACAGGTGCTCTGATGGCATTCATAGCTTCAGATAAGACCTGAAGTCTGGTCTCACTTCCCACCTCTTCACTTGAATTGTTTTTCCAAGGTGTTGAGTAACTTAGTGACTAAAAGCTAGTACAGCCTTTGAGGTCTCCTGGTTCCTTGCCATCTCGGCAGCATTTGGCAAAACTGAGAGCATCCCTTTACAGTCTCCGTAAAAGGTTTATTTTTTTTTCCACCCAGCCTTAGTCTGTATTACCCAGAGCTCTACTCTTTGCCTTTCTAAATTGTGTATTTTCTGGGTGATATCATAGGCAGCATGGTTGATGTGTCCCAAATCTTTCTGATCTATAAACATGATTAATGGCCTACTAGACTTCTCTTCTTAACCCATCCTACAAGCACCTCAGATATCAACTTTTCCAAAACTAAACTCCTCAATTTTACCCCACCTCCCCCCCGCAAAAAAAAACAGTAAACTTCCATCCTGTTCCATGAAACAGAAACTGGCTTAAACATGGCCCAAACATCTGCAAGTCTGCAAAGCCAGAAGAAACTGGAAGTTGTCCTGGTTTAATCCCTCTTTTAGATCACACTCCTTTGAAAGATCCCTTTGCTGAAAAAAAATACACGTAAGTTAAAAAATGTGCATACACCTTTATTATTGCATCAGAAATTGGTTTTCTTCAGACTCTTTAAAAAACACTGCTACAAAGAATGTACACGTACTTTTTGACATAAAATCAATAGCCAGAAAGTTCAAGGAGGATTGAGCATTAAGGTTTGTTCCAACCCCTCCCAGGACCCCATGGAATTAAAATAAATGGTATAATAAAAGACTAGACTCAGAATAGCAATGAGAAGAGGAAGGAAGGGAGCAGGGATATTAAGCAACAGATGACAGCCTTCAGTGACTCTCTCGAAGAAAAAGTGGATGAGGGCACATTGACAGATGAAAGAGGTAGATTTAAAGCCCAGGATGTGCTCAGAGGGAGTCAGAGAGGCATTGGGAACCAGCCTGCACACTGCGCAATCCCAGGAGACTCTGGGCCTAGTGCTGGCAAGTCCAGTGGAAGATGAGAGTGGGAAGTGGTAATGGAAAACAGAATAACTGAAGTTCTGTATATGAGACAATTTGTACCAGTTGGCACCCCAGCCCCGGTCCTGCCATGTTCTCCCATCTCAGAACAGTTGTTGTCATGTAGGTGAAAGCCCTCATTCTGGCATTTGGAAAGTCCCATGGTCTTTACAGCCGGCTCTTGCCCTCAAGCAAAGCCTACAGATGAGAATCCCCATTCTGCCCTGCCCCACCCTGCACAGAGTTGCCAGTAGAATTTCCCTGCCAGAAAGAGACGGAGCTGGAAAACAGGAAACTCTCAGACCAATTTATCCAGTCGTCTGTAAAATCAGACAACTGAGTAGAAACAAGAGATGAGAGATCAATATTTAAAAGTCGAAAAACTGACCCAAGAAAGAGAGATTAGTCTGGGAATGGAAGGAAACTGTATTTTTAAAAAAAACCTGACATACTCGGATTTAAGAAAATATTATCTGCATAAAACTAAGTGGCTGCTATAAAAAAGGAGCAGAGGGAGAAATATTCATAAATATGTAAAATTTAGTAGTTGGACTAGAGAATAAAGGAAAGTCTCCCAGAAGGTAGAGCAAAAGAGAAACAAGCTAGTAATAAGAGACGTGAAAGTTGAATCTAGGAGACTATGTAGGTATCTCAGAAAGAACACGAAGATAGAATGAGAGAAATTGTCAAAAGAAGGGGATTTCTAATAGCGGAAGAAAGGAGTCTTCAGGTTCTAAGGGTCTACTGAATGCCTAGTACAATTAAAAAAAAAAAAAAAAAAAGACCAGGACTTCAGCCTGTCAGCATGAAATTGAACAATAAGGACAACAAGAAAAGTGGACTTTTCCTCCCAGAAACAAGAATCTGAGTAGTATCAAGTTTACCAGCAGCCCGAATGCTGAAAGGTAATTGAACAAGACCTTTAAAGTTTTGAATGAAACTTGATTTCAGCCCAATATTATGAACCCAGCCAAATTCAATTAAGTGTAAAAGAAAAAATAAAGACATTTAGACACTCAGGGACTCTGAAACTTTTTCTTTGGGTATTATTGGAGGAGATACTCTAGCAAACTGAGGAAGTAAGCTTAAGGATTCAGAACACAGTGAATCTAATAATACAGGAGAAAAGTGCAAGGGAAATCTCTGAACATGGTTGTTCAGCCAGCCTTAAAAAGTAGCCAGTCCCAATTTGAACAAGAGGAAAGGGTGCTCCAGGGATATATGGTCTCCGGAGAGAAAAACAAAAAGACCTATGGTTGAGAAAGTGGAAGGTGTGTCATATAAGAAGAAAAAGAAAGGTAATTATATAAAATATAATAAAAAATAAAAGTCCGTGTATAAAAGTTTTAGAGTAAATAAGAAGCAAACATTAAATGTGATTCCAAGCAGTAAAGGAGTGTAAGGAAAAGTATGTTTTCTAGTGCTAGGAGTCACCTACAGGGGGCGCCAGAGGAAAGGAAAATGAGCTTTGTCCTTGGCAGAGCAATGAAAAATGTTTACAGTCATAATGTAAATGCTCTTTGTTTTCAACTAAGGGCAAAGCTTTAAGAACTTGATTGTTGTGCACGACGGTCTAAATGTAGCTACTAGGAGAAGATGAAAAGTGGTAGAGAAGGTGTCAGTGAGGGTGTTAGCATTCGGTATAAGGGGTTAACAGCGCACTTTCTGCAGCCAGACAACCTGGGTTCTAAATTCTGGCTTGACTGCCTCCTACCAGTGGAATGGCAGGCAAGATTCTTGATTTCTCTATTGGTTTTTAAAGAAAGGTAATAACGGTACTTAGTTTATAAGCTTGTTGTGTGCATTAAATGAGTTAATGCTTGTAAAATGCTTAGAACACTGCCTGGCCATAGCAAGCACTACAGCTGTCATTATGGTTATCTTACAGGTCAGGGGTTCAAGATATATTTTAAAAGTTGATGACAAGAAACAAATTTACCTTTTGGCCCAGCAATCTCATGTCTGGGAATCTGTCTCAGATCCAGTGGCAAAAATACAAAAAGGCATATGAACAGTTATTTTTTGCAGTACCCACTGTAATGCAAAAAAACCCAAAAAACTCTATGTCCGTCAGTATAAGACTGGTTGAATAAACTATGGTGTGTTGACAAAGTCTCTTGCAGCTATAGAAAATAGTGGAGAGAATTTCCAGTGATGGGATGATGCCAGGATGTATTTACTGTTAAGTGAGAAAAAATAAGGTGTAAAATAACGTATATAGTAGGTTTCTTGGTACTGAATTGTGATCCCGCCCCCACCCTGCCCCCAAAATACTTCTGCATTGAAGCCCTAACCTCCAGCACCTCAGAATGTGACTATATTTAGAGATAAGGCCTTTGATTGGGTAATCGAGTTAACATGAGGCCGTTGGGATGGTCTCTAGTCTGACTTGTGTCCTTATAAGAGGAAGTTTGGACACAAAAGGAGACCCTAAGTGTGCACACACCCAGGGAGAAGACCATGTAAAGAGGCAGCAGGAAGGTGGCCATCTGCACACTGAAGAGGGAGGCCTCAGAGGAGACAACCCTGCCAGCACCTTGATCTTGGACTTCCAGCCCCCAAAACTGTGAGAAAAGAGATTAAGGCTGTGTAAGCCACCTAGTCTGTGGTGTTTTGTTATGGCAGCCAATATGACAAACGAATATACGGTTTTATCTAAGAAAATAGGGAACATTAAACGTGTGTTTGTGTGTGTCAATGTATGTATATATTCATACACATAAAATCTTTTCATAAAAGTAGGAGAATAAGTCAAAAACAAAAACTGATTACCTCTAGGGAGAGGGGACAGAGGAGGGACTAGGAAGGACTCAAAGCTGGACTTCATTGAGCATGTTTTGTACTTTTGACATTGAACTGTGTCAGGGTTATACATGACTGTGAAACAAGTCAAAATTATGAAATAGAGAACGGTCCTTAAAAATTGGAAATAAAATGAAACAAATTAATCTGGGTATCAAGTTGGTGACCTAACCTCACAAAGAATTCTTTCAAACCTAGAACTTTCCTTGTGGAAAGCATCCTAAGGACAAGAGTGACTGAAGAGAGAGTGAGCTTAAACAGTATGAAGACTCCTATTGAGAGAGGAGCGCAATCTAGAATAAAGAAAATAAAGGGTTTTGTGGGTTTTTTTTTTTTTAACCATCATTAGGAATCCAGACTTTACCATTAGACAAAAAATAAAAATTCAAATTCAGAATTTTGTTAGGCCACATTTGAATTGGAAACATCAGTATGGACTCATGTTTTTTTCCTTTAAAAAGATTTCCTAGCTCTTTCAAGGCTTAGAGGCAGCGAGCATCCCTGGTACCTAGGTTGCCATTTCTGAATACCATTTTCAACTAAAACTGATCAAGGTTCCAGAATGAAATGGCTGCTTTCGGGTTTATGAACAGCACGTGTAGGAAACGAGCCTGGGTTGGTACCAGTGTGCAGTGAAGGAAGCTTAAGAAACCACTGGGGCCATGGGGAAGGACCTCAAACCATCTTGAAGGGGCTCCACTCACCAAATGTGGGACAGTGTGACTTTCAGAAATAACAATTGCAGGATGCCTGGGTGGCTCAGTCGGTTAAGTGTCTGCTTGGGATCAAGCCCCACGTCAGGCTCCCTGCTAAGCAGGGAGCCTGCTTCTCCCTCTCCCTCTGCCTCTCCCCGTGCTTGTGCTCTTGCTCTGTCTGTCAAATAAATAAGTAAAATCCTTAAAAAAAAGAAAAGAAAAGGAATAACAATTGCAGTGGGTTGAAACATATTTCAAATATGAAAAAACACTTCAGTTCATAATAGTTAAAAAATCTTAAAGGTCACCTTAGAAGCTGTGTAGGACACCAACTCATTTTTGTGAAAACTGGAAAATACGGGAGTTCTGTTTCAGGGAAGCAAATAGTTGATGAGGGAAAGTTATTTATAGGAGAATTTCTGCTAATAAGTAAAAAGGACACATTCATGGAAGTTGTTGATCATGAAGTAGAAGGCTGATGTGGGAGCCAGAATGGATGGATTGGACTGAACACCTGAGCCCAACCGGTCAATCACAATGTCACAGGGGAGAGAACGGGGTCCTTCCAATGCAATGAGGAAGTCTACAGGCATCTATGAAATGCTCTTTGCAAAAAAAAAAAATCAAAGCTGAATCTAATCAAGCCTAGATCTAATGACCAGTCTTAGGAAGTGTAGGGGAGAGAGGAAAATAAAGCGCCTTGATTGCAGTCAACCAAATCCAGAGTTTGGCTAATTCTCTGAGACAAGTGCCTCAGTTTACTCATCAAATAAATGGTGAGGGAAAAAAAACAGAACCATATATTAAAAGATCTGTCAACCAAATGGAATGTGTAAGGACCTTATTGGGATCCTGATTTGAACAGTTGTAAAAAGACATTTATGGGCCAATTGGAGAAATTTGATCTCTGAGGAAATAATAGGGAAAATTGCTGTCTTCGTTCTTTGTGTCTAAGCTGTTTATTTTGAGATCATTTTAGATATTTAGGCTGTTGTAACAAGAATTACGGAGATTTCCCAGGTGCCCTCTACCCAGTTTCCCCTAGTGATGACCTGTAAAATTTAGACAATATCACATAGAAAAATGCCAACACAGTCAAGATACAGAACATTTCCATTGCGACAGGAATCTCCTCTTGCCCTTTTGTAGCCCTGTCTACTTCCCACGCCTGTCCCCACCTTAAGTAGCAGCCACTAATCTGTTTTCCATTTCTTTCATTTTGTCATTTCCAAATGTTATATAAATGTAATCACACTCTGTGTAACTTCTTGGGACTGGCTTTTTTCACTCAGCGTAAGCCTCTGAAGATTTATCCAGGTTGTTGCATGTATCCATAGTTAGCTTCTTTTGTGTGTGTGTGTGTGTGTGTTTTTAACTGTCATTAGGAATCCAGACTTTACCATTAGACAAAAAAAATAAAAATTCAAATTCAGAACCTTGTTAGGCCACATTTGAATTGGAAACATCAGTATGGACTCATGGTTTTTTTCCTTTAAAAGGATTTCCTAGCTCTGTCAGGGCTTAGAAGCAGTGAATGGTATTTGTTGTTATTTAAAAAAGTAATCAATTTGCAATATATACATATATCAAGTCATTACATTATATACCTTAAATTTTATCTGTCAATTATATCTTAATAAAACTGGGGGGAAATGGCATTGTAAAAGGGAAAAATCAACAATAAAATACAATGCCAGGTAATAAAAGGTTTCATTTTATTATGGAATGAAACAAGGAACTCTGTCTCCTAAGGATACTGCAGGATTTTCACACAAAATGGGGTAATGCCTGGGATTTGCTTTAAAATAATCTGAGGGAAGGGAATTATAAATGAATCCTGATTTCTATATGTAATTCTTGAAGCTAGAGGATGGGTCCCTGGGGTTCAATATACTATTCTACCTGTTGTGTGTTTAAATTTTCTATTATAGAAAGTTAAAAATACACTATGGGCCTCTTATTTAGAGAGATGGAGCTAGCTATAAGAACTCAAAATGGAACCAATAAGTAAACGAGAATTTAGAAGAACAAGAAAGCTGACAATAGCTCTTCTGTGTATGGCTCAACCTTATTTTAACCATTTCACTTATGTTAACTTTAACTTAATACTCGCTGCTGTTATCTGTGGTGTGCTGGTGTGGTTCCGATTCTACAGAGGAGGAGGAGGAGGTACAGAGAGGTGAAGTAACTTGCCTAAGATCGTAAGGCCGTGAGGTGGTAGAGTCAGGCATCCAGCACCAGAGGTCGAATGTTCTCTTTTGCATCTCATCGTGGAGCCCAAGTTAAGATTTTTCTCTTGGTTTCCATATCCATTGACCAAACTGTCGATTCCCCAACTGTTCCATGGAATGTCAACAGCTGTTCCATAAAAAAAAAAAAAAAAAATTTTTCATGGAAAAATAGTTAACCCAGCATTTTCCTAGTGTGTATGGAGATTATTTATACTGAGGACTTGTCAGAGAATTTAATGTTAAATGTATATTGTAAATCACCAAGAGGAACATTTATCTTGTACAGTTCTAAAATTATTTTTCCATGGAATGTTTTTGTTTTGTTTTTACAGGATATCTATAGATATCTCAAGGAACATACAGTTCTGTGCCATTTTTGTACTCTTCTTGAATATCATCCACTATTTCACATCATTAGTTTCTATGCTTTCACCCAAATGATCTTTCTTAAATGTAAAATCAAATGTTGTCACTCCCTGAATCACCGTGCAGTGAACCTTCATTCTTTTCAGACTCATACTCATTGCATACAAGGGCCTTGCTTGCTTTATGGAGCAGTCTTGAAAGCCCCCTGTAGGCCAGGTACTCATCTCAGTCCATATAGTCTGTCATGGTTTGTATGTATTACAGTTACTTGCTGTTAGACTGGGAGCCCTCTAAAGACCACATCCTGTTTGGTTTTTGTTTTCTACCTAGCCAGTTAATACATGTACATAGTGGTTTCTCAATAAATGTTTGAATGGATTCTATTTTCTGGCAGTTTTAATTGCTAAAAACATGTTCCTTAAGTTGACCTAAAGTCTGGTTCTCTCCAGTATTGTCACACTGAGTGTGTTTCTTTTTGCTCATAACAGTACAATGTTTGAGTTTCCCTGAAGTCCTTTCCGTGTGAAACTTTTTTTTTTTAACAGTGAACATTAGTTCTCAGTTGCTAACATGGCAGTCAAAACTGAATTTAATACTACATTCTATATATTATTAGAACAGTTTTTATTTTTATAGAAACCTACGTGTTTTCTATCAGTTATTACCAGACCATTGTCCATCATCTTCTACTTGTGCTCGTTAGCCCATCTTATTTTGACCTATTCATTTTAATCTTGATTAAATCATCTGTTGTTGGAAAGCAGCTCAGCTAGCTTTGTGGTATCTTTAACTTTTATGTATACAACTGTTTTTTCTTCTTCCAAACCTATGAGCAGAAGACAGTCTCCCATAGCTTCCAGTAGATAGCTCATCCTAGGCTAATCGCGGGTCAGCCTAACTGTATCCTACTTAACAAATATCTTCATGTCTTAAGTCTGTCAGCTCTACAGCATCTACTTTATCTTTCACTCACCCAGAACTTACTTTGGCAAATGTTTTGTGGAAATGTAGACCATTGATTACCATAGCATCTGTAAATTGAGTTCTGCTTCATATTCTGTTTGACTTTGTGTAAGCTACCCAGCCCCCCACGCCTGGCTCAGAATTTCTAAAATTTTAAATGGCCTAACTGGTCTCAGGTTTTTTGGTAAGAATTAAAGGGTCAAAATTGTATATGGTTGGACATCTTTCCCAATTACGGCATTTTAATACATTTCACAGGCTTTAAAAAGTTGCAGGAAGAAGAAAGCAAAGGGAAAGAAGAGCGTTCAGAAGTCTTTATATGGGGAAAGAGACCTTGCTTCGAAGAAGCCGCTCCTCAGTCCTATCCCCGAGCTGCCTGAGCTCTCCGAGATAATGCCTCCCACTCCAGGCGCCGGCAGGCTGTGTTCAGGTACCCTGCTCTTGTCCTGTTGCTATTTTATCTTCTCTGCCACTTTCTTGCTGCTGCACCCTCTTTTCCCTTTTTCCCCATTCACTGTTAAAGAGCATACAAATAAAAATAGCAACCTTCCCTCATATTACCATGAGAATTTTAAGTTAAGGAAGCAATAGTTCGTAACTTTTACCCTCTTCAGAATCTGATAGGAGCTCTGGACCCTCTCCCCAGAGAAACTAAGACACAAGAGAGTGCATATAGTTTTAGGGGAAATAATTTCCTTCCATCCTTTTTTCTTTTTAAAGCATTTTAATGTTTTTTATAGTATTCTGCTCAAATGAATTCTGTGTAGTGTTACGGTCCATCATGAAGAGTAAACAAGGTGATGGCTCAGTAATAGATAAATCTTTTATAATTAAGGACAAAAAAAAAAAAAAAATGCCAACCCCCTGCCCCAAGACAAGCACATAAAGAGACTGGGGAAGGAGCCCAGGGGCTGGGGCAGCTTGGGTGTGATGATGGGCTAGCAGGGGTTTGTTTAAACTCTGTGCTTTCCAGAAGTTGAGAAGTAAGTAGAAGCCCATAGTCTAGGGTGGCATATAGCTTATTCATCCTTGGATCTATTATAAATTCTACAGATATGTTGCAAATGGAATGCAGGCTCTAAATCTCTGATGACTGACAAAAACGCCTATTTTTAAAATTATTCTGTACAAAATGAACACACCGAATGAATACATACTCTTATTAATTTCAGCATGATTTTAGTGAATTTTAAATTTCAGCCATTATAAAACAGAAGCAATTCCAATTTTTATCTAACCAGTATGTCAACTGACTTAATCTTTGCTTTACAACAAAACTGTTTCAAAGTAATCCAGTTCCATTTATAAATGTTATTTCTAGTAGATGCTTAGCATATATTAGTTGGTTGCCACCGAGTGGACCCTATGCTAACCTCTGCCTTACGTGACCTGATATCAAGTACCCGAATCATGAAATAATGGAGAGAGTGTGTGCACGCACACACGTGGGAGCTGGAGGAGGGGCAGAGAGAGAAGAAGAGGAAGAGAATCTCCAGCAGACTTCCTGCTGAGTGTAGAGCCTGACCTGGGACTCCATCTCACAACCCTGAGATCATGACCTGAGCTGAAATCAAGAGTTGGAGACTTAACCGACTGAGCCACCCAGGCACCCCATTCTTTAAAAAATTTATTTTAAGATGTATTTATTTAAGGCTTTAAAACGTTGATGATGTTTCGTTCACCTGTGTGATGTGACACAGTGTGTCAGAACCACAGGACAGCCTCCACATGGCATGTCTTCCTGGAGTCTGACTTTCAGTCAGATGGAGGTGGAAGGGGAAGACTGCCAGAATATTGAAACACACGTAGCTTCGTTTGAGAATGCAGTGCTGTTTAAATCATATTAAAATTTTTAACACAGGACGTAAGACCTAAGTGTGTGTCTTTAAAAATACCCTTTTGGCTAAATGCTCAGATCCCCCAGAATTCCAAGCTTTCTTTCCTCTATTTCTGGCGAAACATAGCTAGAAAATTTGCAGAAGCACAGTGGTGCCCATTTTCAGTAATTCGTTTTTCGGGAAATGGGAAAAGTGGCTGCCTCATGCTAATTGACCTTGTAGTGCGGAAAGTACATTAGAATAGAGGAAGCAATTTGAGATACACTTCTCAGTTTCATGGTCTGAGATTATGTACTTTGTTCACTCATGTATTAAACACGTATTTTCTTAACCTGGGCTTGGGGAAGAACTAAAAAAAGGAAGAGCAGGATGGCAGATGGTGGCAAGTACAGCATAGCATTTGTAAGTCTTGTGAGTTTTGAAGGCCTAAAACCTAGAATACGGTATAGCACCTGTTTGATTTGTCGACCTTTCTTTCCATTGTTACTTTTTAGTGAGATTTAAATTTATTTCCATGCCCTTAGATGATTTCAACTCCAACGGTGAACTTGAAGAAGCGAAGCTTCCTAAAAGAAAGACTCTTTTGCCCTACAACCCAGAAGATTTGCAGATGAATCAAGGCTTTAATAAATATGATCTGTCTGCATTCTGCAGCTCTTACATGAAAAGTTCCTTGTCGCTTATTAACGCTACTTTAGATCAAGATTTAAATATGAGTGCCGTAGCAACTAATGAACATAAAACTATTCTAAAAGCTGAGATTAAGTCGGAAGGCGAAAATGGACTGAGAGCTGGCCCTGAGAGTGAAAGCAGTCATGTTTCTTGTGCTCCTGTGACCGCAGAGCCCCTGGCATCAGATGATGCAGAATCCAGTGCTATCCTGCCGTCCCGGGAATTGGCTGCTGCTGGTCAAAATGTGGAAAACCTTTTTCAAATCTTTAAGATTTCAGAAGATGTGAACATAAAGTGTGAAAAACAGGATGACTTTTTAATAGCTACGGGAGGAAAACTGCAGCCCATGCACTTAACGTCTGACTTACAAAATGAAGAGGTGTTAAGTGACAACGTAAAAGAAAGTAAAAGTCCGAGTGCGGGTTTGGGAAGAAACTCCATAGAAGGTCAAAGTAGCACTGGTGTGAGTGGTGGAAAAAAGACGCATAGAAGACGCTCTACGTGTTATTCCGACGGCCAGAGTTTATATTTGGAGAAAAATGGAAATCACAAACCTCCCTACGTAGTGAGCAGCTCTCTAGAAATTGGTTTAGAAAATTCTGAACTGTATAAAGATTTATCGGCCTCCATAGAGCAAACCTTCCAGAAAACAAATAGCGAAACAAAAGTAAGACGTAGCACAAGGCTGCGGAAAGATTTGGAAGATGAAGGGCTTGTATGGATTTCACTTCCATTTCCTTCCACGTCCTGCACTTCCCAAAGAATGAAAAGGAGAACAATATGTACGGTTGACAGCAGAGGATTTGAAAGCCTGTCCCTCTCTCAAGAAACTGTGTCTTCTGGACAGAAACCGAGTCTGTCGCTCCCCATATCAGGTAAAGAAAACAAGGAGGGCTTTGCTGCCGGTTTTTCCCATTTACCTGGGAAGAGGAGGAAGAGCCTCTGTACATCTACACTCGCAAATTCGAAAGATACAACTCAGTCCAAGTGCTACAAAAGAAGAATCTCTCTCAGCCAGAAGGGAGAGAGCTCTCTAAAGGACTTCGAAAGAATGGGACATGTCTGGGAACTAAAGCAGTAACTGACATTTCCTATGGAGCATGTGACCGCAGAGAAGGTAACCATCCGTGCTTAAAAGATCCTTTCATTCTGCTTCTCATCCTTTGTTCAACTTCAGCGTTTTAAAAGTTTCAAATAAAATCATTTGAGTTGAACCTATTTTTATGTAGAAATAAGTGAATTTCTTCAAAGGGGAAACGTTCTATTAAAAATGTTCTTCTCTCCCCAAATAGTACATATTTACTGAAGCTTTCACATTAGTACATGTTTACTGAAGCTTTAGAGTCTCTTGTAAAAAACATCAACCATCTTTTAGGATTGACTCATTCTGTCTGCAGGAGAAGAGTTTAAAAAATAAAATGATAGAATTAATGTAATTTTACAAAAATTGAAGGTAATACAAGGTTAAACACTGTTAGAAAATGAGAAAAGATGTGTTTTTAAAATGCTGCCCCTCCCCCCCAAAAAACTGGTTATAAATGTTAACAGGAAAGATGGAAATCATAAGACTTGTTGGTTTAAAGTTGAGAAGCTTTAATGATTTGCTTTGTCTCAAATGAAAATTGTATAATAATAGGTTACAATCACAACTTAAACATGGCATTCTGTAATTTTCTTTCAATAAGAATATTACAAATCTAGCATTATAAAATGAATATATAGTTTATAATTAACTAAGGTGAAAGCATTTTGTCCTTCAAACAAGATTCTTACATGCTTCGTGGGGTGGGAGGTGCAGGATTGGTTTTTGGTGAAAACAGAACAGTTTAGTTGAATGATCTTCCAGATCATTCCAATTAGTCACATTTAGGATTTATTCCAGGAAATCCCAAATTAGCAATTTGGGATTTAATTCGTGGTTCTCCGTTAAAAAATTTTTTTTAATCCAGAAACTCTTAAGAAAGGGCCCTGGAAAATTCTTTTTACTTAACATGAAGTTGGGGGTGGTCTTTTTTAACATGGTCTTTTCTTTTCCAGCAGTTCTCTTTATTTCACAATATATCAAGTACTATCACTTGTTTTGGATTTTCCAGTTACATTTCAGCAGTGGCCTCTCCTATCACTGTTTTTGATGACAGCAGTTTGAAAATCTAAATTGCTATATATCTGGGATTTGTGAATGCACATAAATCATTGTATCATTAAACAATTGTCTTTGAAATCCTTTAAATCATTAAACTCTCCCTCTCCCTGATAGCAGAAACATGTTAACAAATAGAGCTCTCTATAAATAACCCAACAGGGAAGAAAGCTCCTGCTGAGCGCCCATTTCCCCTGCCTCAGAGAGAGACTATTTGTTACCTTCTTGGCACCAATAGGTCTGGAAGTCCTGCTGCTAAAGACTAAATGTATTTTACATTAACGCTCAAAGTGATCCCCAATTTCTTCTGCTAAAGGGTGGATTGTTTAAAAAATTCTTTTATCTTTACGCGTAAATTATTTATGGGCTTTTTTCGCCTGGTTTATAGTTTGGTATGGTTGGCAAATCTCTATCACTGAAAACAATCCCCCCCAACCTACCCCCTACCCCCAAAAATGGAGCTTTTTGGTTTTGGTAATTTAAAAAGAAAAAAGTAAAAACTTTCAGAAACATGCAGTGTTAAGGGTTTTGTTTTTTTAAAAGCTTTTTGTTCTCCTTGTTTAATGTGAAGGCTAAAACTACTGATCGTTTTTTCCTCCCCTTTTTGCCGTATGATGATGTATGATCTCAGTTGTATATGAATTTTAAGAATTTCACATGCTTTGTTTTATTCCTCAAAATGTGCTAATGAGGATGAGGGAAACATTTGATCTGTGGGATTTTTTGGCTTGAGCTTTCAAATGTAAAATTCTTGTTTTCTGGCATCTCCAGTTAAAACTGTAAACTCTTGATGCATTTTGTTGGTTTCAGGATGTGTCCATATAAATGTTTTGTTGATATTTGTAAATAACAAATAGGCAGTTTTTTAAAAAACAAGAGGTCTGAGAAATCAAAGCAATTTGGATATAGTTTTATCCACTGTCTCATTTGTATCCTAAGATTTGTGAAAAGTTAATTATTTCTGTATTTGATCATGCTTGCTTGTTTCTAGCTGTTTCTTTTCATTAATGGTTGAAACGGAAACTGGGCTTCAGAAGAGTCTGTCCTTGCCTTATCTTTTCTTACTGCTGTAACGCTTGTCTCATTTTGCCTTAGGAAGTCTGTATCTTTTGTTGCTCCTGTAGATGCTTGTTTGTTCCAGAAGATGGCAGCATGACATCTGGATCCATTACCTTAAACCCCTGGGCAGGTCTTCATCGTTGCTGGGGGTGCTGCTTCTCTTTAACTTTTATTTTCACTCATTTTTATCATGAAATGATATTTGTCTACTAGAAAAAGTGGAGAATGGTACACAATTGAAAACTGTCTTCCTTCACCGCATGCAAGCATCCTGCAGCCACACCTGCGTCTTCCCGAAAGCTTTTTGTGTAAACACTTAGCAACTGGCCTGTGTCTTCAAGACCTTCGCCTGTGCAAACATGTTTTCTAATGGGATCACTATAATGTGCCGTTCTGCAGCTTAATTTTTTTATTCAATAAACTTGCGTGTTGTTACGGGGAGCCCTCATGCTCCTTTGGTCTTTTGAATCCCTGCATAGAGTTGTATACTCTGCACATCCATAACTTAGTTAGCCGTCTCCTTACTAAGGGATGCTAATTGTCTCCACTTCTTTGTGATTGAAAATTATGCCATGCTGGGCTTGTGTGCAAATGTCCATAAGATAAATTCCTTGATATTAAAATTAAATGGATATCAAATTATCCTCCACAGTTCATACCTGCTACAGTTCTCTCATAAAGATTTTGGCATGCATCTCCTTCACTCTACCTGTCACGTTCTTCTGCTTTAATGCCACTTTGCTTCCATTTTCTCTCACTGCCCCCACTGGTCCTTGAGCTGTGGAAGGGAACGTGGGGCTTACACTTGGTGTGACACGGAGAAAATGATTATTAATGCCCGATTCATGCTTTAGATTGAAAGAACTTTGTTTTTACTGAAGTCAGCGTTATTGAGGTGTAACTAACTCTAGTAAACTGAGTGAAGTTTACCTTTTTAGGCGTACAGTGTGAATTTTGGCAAATTCATCCAGTCATCTAATGACTACCGCAGTTACGAAATAGAACATTTCCATCACCCCGAGACCTCCTCCCTTTTTGTGGTCAGTCCCCTCTCCCCCAACCCCAGCCTCTCGCAACCACTTAGAGCAGATTTCCGTCCTTCGAGTTTTGCCTTTTCCGCAGCATCATATAAATGGATATAAGAGTTAGAGCCTTTTGTCTTTTTTGAAATTTAGCAGAATGCTTTAGAGATTCATCCATGTTTCATGTCATAGTTGATTCCTGTTTATCGCTAAGTAGTAGTAGTCTGTTTTATGGATGTACCAGGTTTCTTACTCATTCACCAATCGATGGATATTTGGATTGTTTGTTTTTTTGACTATTACAAATAAAGCTGCTATAAACATTCACATATGGATTTTTTTTTTTTTAAGAGACGTTTTCATTTTTCTTGGGTAAATACCTAGGAGTGGGGATTCCTGGGGTGTATGGTTGGGATATGTTTAACTTTTTGAGAAACTGCCAGGCTTTTCCATCGTGGCTGCACCATTGCACATGGTCACCTGCAACGTGTTCAGTTGCTGCACATTTTCACCAGCACCCAGCATTGTCTGCCTTTTTCATTGTAGGATTCTGGTCACTGTGCAGTCGTATCTCACTGTGGTCTGGATGTAGATTTCCCTAATGACTAATGATGGAGAACATCTTTTCCTGAGCTTATATGCCATTCTTGTATCCTCTTTAGTGAAGTGTCTGTTCAGATTTTTTGCCCACATTTTCTTTGCTTATTGATGTTTTCCTATTGAGTGAAAGAGTTCTGTGTTTATTTGGATAAAAATTCTTTATTGGATGTGTCTTGCCAATATTTTTCCCCAGTCTGTGGCTTGTCTTTTTATTTTCTTAGCAGTGTCTTTTAATTTTGGGGTAATCTGTAATTTACCAGTTTTTTTCTTTGATGGCTCATGCTTTTGTGTTTTATCTAAGAAGTCTTCGCCTAATTCAAGAGCCCAGGGATTTTCTCCTGTGTTTTCTTGTAGAAGTTTTAGAGTTTTAGCTCTCAGGTATTGAGTTAATTTTTGTATATTGTGTAAAGACCAGGGTTTGTGTTTTTTTTTTTTAATGGAAATTATTCACCATTCATTGAAAAGATTAGGGATTCCTCATTGAATTTCTGTGGCACTTTTGTTGAAATTGGTTAAGCTTATATATACAGGTCTATTTCTGGACTTTATTCTTTTCCATTAAGCTGTGTGTCTAAAACCAACATCACACCATCTTGATTATTATGGAAAGGTTTTTTTTTTCCTTTATTTTGATTCTTTATCGTAGTTTATGTTTAAAAGTTCTTTTTGTGAGGGAGGCCATTAGAAGCAAAAGATTGACCAATCAATTCTATCTGGAGCCTACAATTATACCCAGACCTGCATTTCCATTTAGGGCTAAGAATCAATAATAAGCTGTAAGAAATATGGGAAGGAAACCATCTTCCTCGAGTCCAAATACATTCGGCCCAGTGTCTTGTAAACTGGTTTACTACAGTTCATGATTCTAAATTGTCACCCTGAGCCACTATAAGATTTAGTCATTGAGAAAGGAATCTCTTTTTGAATACTACCATATAAAATCAGCAAGAAAATAAAGTGAGTTGAATTAAAATAAGGTGCAAAAGTCTTTGTCAAAAATATTATAAGTCTGATTCATTTCTTCTCATAAATAAGGTTGTTACTATAGTTTGGTTTTCGTGTAAAAACTGCCACTACCCTTACTCATAATGTAGCCTTAGCATTTGAGAATTACTTCTTAAACATGGGAAAATTTTCCTGCAGCAGGTCACCCGAGGTAGGCAGATTGTAGATTCATTAATATGTATGCCAGGCATTAATTTCTAATGTGATCACTGCCTTCAAAATGCTCAGTTTTCTCTAAGGGGCAGAAATATAGTCCAGGGTGAGTCTAGAGGAATGTTCTGGTCCTCTTAACCTTGCATTGTTACCACCTGAAGATCAGGTAAGTTTGGTTTCTTTTCTGGAAGAAGTGATGCTTGAACAAAATACACTAATGGGAATTTTAGGGGAATGGGATCCAAAAGATATATTCTATTTCAAACATAATTATTTTGTAATTTTTGCAATTATTTGCTGTGATGAGGCAATGTAAGTTGGCTTCATCTCATACATATTTTTGCTTTCAGTATTTTTCTTAACTTCCCATTAAATTCTAACCTATGAATAAATCTGGACAAAGCGTGGATTCAAAACTAGACTAGAGATTGTGAATGTACATAACCAAGTTCTAAAATCTCTCCTCTTGAATGCTAATGCATTTCTATCTTTTGTATTACCAGATTTCTTGGTAGTGTGTCAAAGGGTTGACTCTGGGCTTGGAATCCATGATCAAGTGAACAGAATTGGGATGAAATTAAATCACAATAAATAATTATACATACAAAAGAAAAGTGTATGTACATACACTTTTACACAAATAATTATACATACAAAAGAAAAGTGCACATATGTACATACACAAATACAGGGGTGCCACCCAGGCACCCCTGTATTTGTGAATTTTTAAGCTTTGAAATGTAGATAGCTCTTGTATTTGCTATGTCTAATAATTTTTTTATTTTCATGGCTTTTTTTGCCTGCTTAAAATTTGCTTTAAGAAAAATAATTCTTGGGGCGCCTGGGTGGCTCAGTCGTTAAGCGTCTGCCTTCGGCTCGGGTCGTGATCCCAGGGTCCTGGGATCGAGCCCCACATCGGGCTCCCTGCTCCGCGGGGAAGCCTGCTTCTCCCCTCCTTCTCCCCCTGCTTGTGTTTCCTCTCTTGCTATGTCTGTCTCTGTCAAATAAATAAATAAAATCTTTAAAAAATAATAATAATTCTTCCACTTGTTTGTAATGTTAAACGTGGTGATTTGTTAGAGATATTTCTATTTTTGCTGTTTAAAAACAGACTGCGTTTCCAGGGTTGTGGTATCTCGTAAGCCAAAGTAAATGTCAATTTTTTTCTCTATTTAGGCATATCAGAGAACTGCTAAGTACCATTAAGTGTTTGCAAAAAATTGGTTCTTCCACATGTGTGGCCCAAACAGTGACATAATTTTTGTTTAGTATAAAATTGGTGTCGAACAGTTGAAACTTCATAGAGAGCAAAAGGATTTTTCGGTTCAAGTAAGTTTAGTTCAGATGCCAGACACGAGGATGTGAAGTGTGTGATTTTATGCCTAACATTTGAATATGGACAATGTGTTCGTTTTTTAATTGTTCATAACAGAACAATAATCCAAAGCGACCAGTCTTTTCTTGTTTTAAGTATACATTGGGAATGAAGATTTCAGAAGTATTCCCTCAAACCTGAAAAACCTGGTGTTAGTCTTGGGTGATTTCCAGTGACCCTGTGACTCCCTTCTTCCTGCCCCCTGTGTAGATTTGGAACTGGGCAGCCATTTTTGTTTTTGGAAGGGAAAGGAGACAGATATAATGAATGACTTTTATTGTGCAATATTTCAAACT